AGGTGCAAACCAATCAAATTGTGCAAACTTGGAAACTACCGATCAGGACTACTAGATGCTAATCCAATGGATGGGGGGGCCATCTATTGGATCAGCATCTAGTGGTCCTGATCGGTAGTTTTCAAATTTGCACATGTTGATTGGTTTGCACCTGATATGTTGCCTTTGTTTTTGAGATTGGTCCAAGTCTTTAAAAAAAAATCTGCAGCTTCCTTCATCACTTGTTTGTTGAACCATCGTGTACCTCAACCCCCCAGCTATGTATGTGCTTCTCCTGAACGGCCTCCTAACCAAAGTTGCAGAATCGTCTCATTCTGGAACCGACGCGTTTCTGGCTTTCTGCTCTACCCTTTCTGCATGCATGCTACTGCCCTACCAGGCTACCACAACGTGAATGTGTGTTTACCAAATGGAGCCGCCTCAGGGCTATCTATCCAGACTGGAAATCCTGGCACTGTCCCTGCCAGAACTAATCTCTCAGCTGGACTGTTCATTGTGGTCTAATGATTCTATCTGTGAGTTTTTTTATGGTTTCAGAGACTCGATTTCCATTATTTCCATAATTACTCTGATTTGACTGTTGTGCTGTCCATCTGTGACGCCAGCAGGAATGTTTCTATCCCTGAAATTTTTTCTACATCAGCAAAATGAGTAATTGTTTTTTTTTTGTCTTCTAGCTTGATCATGGCCAATTGTTCATTTTGCTGATGTAGACGTGTGCCTTATAATTTCTCTAGAAGCGGCGATTGACGAGGACATAACAGAATATACATAGGACTGCAGTCATATGAAACAAAATTCCAACATACAAAAAATAAAGTTGATGGCTAAGAGATGTGGAGCCCCGAGGCAGTTTTCTGGTCTTCGATGGAGACGGGAATGTTTTTATTTTTGGTATTTTTCCATTCTACATATCCTCAAGTTCTTTTTTTTTGAAAAGTATATCCTCAAGTTCATAGTGACCCCATCTCAGATTCTCATTGGCGGAGATAGCTTTCTGATCCGACTGGCTATGCTTTTAATTTACCTATTCTAGCTTTCTTTATTAGATAATGTAAAAAGATACTTGTTCTAGGTATACAACTCAAAAAGATCAAAACTTTGTGCTTGAGACATTTTTTTTTTCTAAAATACGAGTAAAAAATAAAACATGTGGTTGAGTCCCTGAGGAGCCTCTACCTAATACTGTTTGATCTAATCGTCTATTACGGGAGAGAAGGAGCTAGCGTGGGCTTCAACTTAATACTCCTCCTCCACTCCCAATCAAATCACACGCATGCTTGTCACGATTCCTCGTTGACAAGTTTCTTATAATATATATAAAAAAATAAATTGGTGCGATTACATATCATCTTGAACTACCCTAAACATGCCTCTTGTCTCCAAGAGTATTTCTAAATCTCACTCTCTAAATCATCATTTGGAGAGCCATTTTCATAAAAATCGCTTTCTATATCTTTTCACTCTCCAACAACTTTTCTATATCTCGTACGCACTCTAGAGAGCCATTCTCGTCTTCTATTTTTGGCTAGCGAAAAATCCGAAATAGAAGATGGTTATATTTGCATAACCATTAGGCAAGCTGTTGAAGGATAATTTTTCACCAAAATGTCTATTCCTAACATTTAGAAAGGATATAAAGAGGCTCTTGGAGTTGCTCTTAGTCTCCATAGAATATATTTAATCCCTTAAACTAGGTAATAGCATACCCTTATAGCATAAAAATATGTTAAAATTTTCTGGGATTATTTTCATAGATGGGAACATCTAGTACGGATTTAAATACATAAAAAGGATAAAAGAATATTCAAATATTTTATAATAAAACATTTAAATACTCTGTAGCATATTCTATGAACTTTTTTTTGTCACCCTATAACTTTTTAACATAAACAACAAGTTATATATGAGGAAAAGCTAAAAAAAGATTTCATTTTTAGCAGAAAAAGTGATCTTCCTCAATATAGTATAGCGGAGGAGACGTGTACCTTGTAAGCATGTGTTTGTTTATTAAACATTTTTATTACTGTTATATAAGAAAAATATATTAATGGGATTTTCTGCTTAGCTGGTGGGAGAAAACTGATGAGGCACGGGTCCTCGGCTTCGGCAGTTCGGCTACTGGCTGTAGCCTATGGAGTAGGATATGGCCTGGTGTCATCTTTTTGACTTCGACGAGTGGTATTCCGTCATATTTTGCAATCGTTCCCCTGACTTTTCACAGAATTCATGGATACGATGATCACGCCATTCTGCAACTTCATTTCAGTTTGTGAACGAAAGATACCGGTGTAGCCAGCCTCCATAAGCAAGTACAACTTTCAGCCCAAAGAAACGAAGTATAACCTGTACAGATGAAGGACTGGAATAGTTGACGAAACTAGGGCCCGTGCAAATTTCTCTAGGGACTTTTTTGATCACTCTCTCTGGAGTTTGACCCCCTCTCTTGACTAAACAACTTTCTTAGCTATTTCATGTTAGCGTCGGATAAAGGCCCTGTGTGGATTACGTAAAAAATTTATAAGCTATAATGAGCCTGTTCGCTAGTTGGTTTCTGGGCTGATAAATCCGCCTGGTGCTGGTTTGTTGTGAGAGAAAAACACAGTTGACTGGCTAATAAGCCCTGGCTGAAACCAACAAGCGAACAGGCTGAATAGCTAGAGGGAGCCAACTAATAACTTTTTATGAGGTCGGATAATGAGCTATAAACTGAACTAGGGTTCTGAGCTATTTAGATTAGCTAGTATTTTTTAGTCGTCTTGCTTTGCAACACTATTTCAGCAGTACTTTTCAGCGAACAAATAATATTTTTCTCTCACAATATTTCAACATAAGCATCAGCATAAGCCAAATTCCTGCGAAACGACAGGGCCAGTAGCTAGCAACTTATTTGGTTAATCCAAACAGAACCAAAAGCTAGGAAATCCGTAAATACATAGCTCGTTAAAATTAGCTTCTTCCACAATTCCACTGGATGAAGTACAAAGACATAAAGGAAGAAGAAAAAAATTGAAGACTACACCGAATTTGTAGAGCACATTTCTTGGTTGAGAAGAGATTAAAAGAGAGCAAATAGTTGACTACAAACTATTTGATTTGATATTATAGTAATGAAGGTTCCGTTCAAAATGGTATAATAAAAAGACAAAAAAAGATGACAAGCATGTTTCTACAATCATTAGTATTGAATTATTAAACATGCGCTCATCTCTGTTAATTGAAATTGGCACAATCTCAAGCTATCACTAATATATATATTTCATTTTGGCAGCTCAATCCATATCTTTAGTCTCTTCTCTATTGTAAAAAGACTTAGAGCCAAGAAATGGCCATTCTCGGCAATAGACGAAGTATCAGGGGTCTAATGAGAAAAGGCACTAGTATGAATGAAACTGAAAGCCGACGAGGGGCTAGAGCATTAAAAATATCCCTCCATTAACTCTCCAACTCCTCTTCCTCTGCCTCTTCATTTCCAATTCCGGCTTCTTCCTCGCATCACAAAATTCCGATTGCGGCGCAGTCTTGGATTGTTTGCTCCAGGCCGCAACTGATCATCATCAGCGGCAGCAACTTCCCAACGGATTCGTGATCCTCCCGCGATGGTACGGCGATTGTCCTCTGTTCTTCTTTTCCTCGCCAAATCTTCCATACCATTTCTCCAGCGTTCCAGTTTTCTCTGATAGACTAATCGATACGATTTTGATTGAGGGATGGTTTTTTCTGAGGACGAAGAAGGCTTAACGGCCTCCCCTCAGTTTTCTCGGCTCTGCTGTTTCCGCTTCTGGTTTCTCGCTTCTTTCGGTTTGTTCAGTTCTGGAGCTCGAGAATCGGAATTCTGCAAGGTTTCTGAGCACGTGTTGAATTTTCTTGTAAGAATTTCTTGCTAGAATCCACTGTCCGATTGCGTTTTAAAAGTGATTAGTCGGCTGAAATTTATTCGATTCGCTTCTTCAGCATGTTTGTTCCGATACTGTTGTATCACTGATTCGGTAAAGGAGTTCACTGAATTCCGTTCAAAGAATAATTTTTTGCGATCCCCAGGAGAAAACTAAATCCTGCTTCTATCGCCTTTTGATGTATATAACTCGTCCCTAGAATTCTCTGTTTGTTCTTCTCCGTTGACAAATTTGGTAGGTACTAAGAGAAGTTTTTCAACAGTCCCCATATAAATGTTCTGGTACTTGCTGCCTTTTGGAGGTGGAAGTTCAATGAAACAGAAACCAGTTTCCTTCTTTAATTCGACTAGTAACTGGGAATTCAGTTAGCCCTGATATTCCTGCATATGGGGGTGCCTCATGTTCAGGTTTGAATTTTGTGGTTGCTTCCTCGTATTTGTAATCGCCGTTTTTCACCGCTCGGGTGATCCCTTGAAATTTTACCACTTCCATTTCATAATCCTACTCTCTCTCTCTGTTTTTTTTTGCCACGAAACAATCGTTGACAGTTACACGTGCTTTATCAGTTAGTTCGAGTCCAGTTGGAGAACTAATTGCCTTCCTTTACAAGTGACTTCCCTATTGTTGCAAAGGTCTGAAAAAAGTTTTCCTGTCAGTCTGTCACAACCTGACACAGTTTGTTTCTACACATTGAAAAGAAAATGTTTTTTTAGCAGATGAGACCTATGTAAAACCGATTTGAACACCCCTAATTCTCTTTGAAAATTGAGTCAGGCGCGCAGTGTTTTTTGGATGCTTTGCCCCTCTGAGCTCTGAATACAGCTCGTGCTGAATGCTGGGGTTGCTGATCTTTTAACCATAGCGAGTTTCTTTGCGTAGAGGTCACACTTACAGTTGCAGTAGATTTCAGGGCGAGTTTTAGCATAGCTTACCTTCCAGGACTGGGTTTTCTTCCCTGGAGTAGACTTTGGCTTCTCCTTTTCCTCCCTAAACAGATTTCCTCCACCAGAGTCCACAAGTACTTGCGTTCTGGTCAAGTCTAGTTTCAGCAGTTGCGAATTCAGACATGTTGAATCTTGACGCCATGCCAATGCAACCACACGTATGATGTCCTCGCTCATTGTTCCTTCTGACGGCCCACCGCAGGGTCCCATCTCCCATGATGCGTGGCAGAAGCGGTTCTTCAGCGTCGCGCCCCCGGCGGCGCTGGTCTTCTTCTTCGTGCTGATATTCGTCGCCGGTGCAATTGTCACGCTCGATCATAAGGAGGTGCGTTGTGACTTTTGACAAATAGGCATGTTTTCTTGGAATGGATGTCTTCAGCTGGTGTGGTCTCTGAATTCTGAAATTCCTGCGCAACTTGTTTCTGCAGAGTGTGTCCATATTGCAGTTGCAACCAAAAGGAGTGATTGCAGCAGTGGAGATGAGGCCTCCGGCGACTAGCGAGCTGAGGCCTTCAGCGACGAGCGAGCTGCGCGCTGAGCCAGCAGAGGAACTCGACATCTGTGAGGTCAAAGATGGTCTCTTTGTTGCCATGTTGTCCATGAGAAATTGACAGCTGATGAGAGTTTTACAACAGCAGTTACTGAAAATTCCTTGTGTTGAAAACTCTTCTTCAGAATAAATGTAGACCTCCAGGCAGCGAGCCCTTGCCGAGGGGCATCGTTCAGGACAAGTCCAACTTCGAGATGGAGTCGCTGGGTGGCAACCCTGAACGGAAGGAGAACGGCAGCGGCAGGCAGTCGAAAAGCCTCCTCGCCATCCCCGTCGGCATCAAGCAGAAGGCGGTCGTCGACAAGCTCGTCTCCAAGGTAGGTACCAGGGCCAGGGCCTTCCATTGTTCAGTTTATGCATGCTCGTCAGATATAGTAGAAAGGTTAGCAGCGTGCCTGCATGCCATCGTGACGCACAGACGACCTGACTGATCAGATCACCGTGCTGTATGTATGTTGCTCTCGTGTCGTCAGTTCCCGGAGGCCAAGTTCACCGTGATGCTGTTCCACTACGACGGCGAGGTGGACGGGTGGCGAGACCTCGAGTGGTCGGGCCGCGCGATCCACGTCGCCGTGCGCGACCAGACCAAGTGGTGGTTCGCCAAGAGGTTCCTGCACCCGGACTTGGTGGCGGAGTACGACTACGTCTTCATCTGGGACGAGGACATCGAGGTGGACAGCTTCGACCCGCTCAGGTACCTGCGGATCGTGAGGAAGGAAGGGCTCGAGATCTCGCAGCCGGCGCTGGACCGCCGGTCGCAGATCCACCACCGGCTCACGGCGCGCGCGCGGAGCGGCGACGTCCACCGGCGGTACTACAAGACGAACGGGCACGGCAGGTGCTACGGCAACAGCACGGGCCCGCCGTGCACGGGGTGGGTGGAGATGATGGTGCCCGTGTTCTCGCGCGCGGCGTGGCGGTGCGCGTGGCACATGATCCAGAACGACCTCGTCTACGCGTGGGGGATGGACTACAAGCTCGGCTACTGCGCGCAGGGCGACCGGAGCCGCAACGTTGGCGTCGTCGACAGCCAGTACGTGCTCCACAGGGGCATCCCCACGCTCGGCGACGGCGGCAAGGCGACGGTGTCGGCGTCGGCGTTGGGGACCGATCGGTTAGCGGTGAGGCAGCGGTCCTACACCGAGCTGCAGGTGTTCAACAGGAGGTGGAAGAAGGCCGTGGCGGAGGACGGGTGCTGGACCGACCCTTACCTGAACTCGGCGGCGACCACCGGCTGACCGTTGGACGGGACGAGGCGGTGCAGGGAAGTGCAGTAGTTGGTAGCTGTCAGGTTGACCTTGCCTAGATCGAAGATGGTAGTAGATCATACACCGCATTAGTTTACAGGTTCAGAGAGCTCTATATATGATGTACAGATTGTTTTTCCCCGTCTCTTGCCTGTTCGGCTGGTATATAAGGCGGCTGGTTTCAGCTGATGCATGGATAAAGAAATTTGATGTAACCTTTTAAAAAAAAAAGTTTTTGTGGTGAGATGATGAATACAGTTGCACCATACACAATACATGCATAGAACTACAATGCACTTCTATGGAACAATGATTCCTCCTCCGATTCCAACTAAAAAGAGAAATTCTTTGCTAGTTCTTCATCCATGAGCTTCGTCCGGTTCACCTCTTCATGCACAGGTGCACTCTCAGCCTCTTCGGACAACCCTTTTCAGCATAGCAACATATTCTTCCTCCTAGTATCAGAATGGGCATCAACTACCTGTAACACCCGGTGTTATGCCTACATTTAGGCACTGCTAATCATACATATCATGCATCATCAAGCATCCTAATCATACATGCCTAATCATGTAAATAACAATTGAAACACTGCTTCGAAACATTTAAAACATGTGTGAAACCTGAATGTTGCATACACCTGTTTAAGAGTTGTTCTGTCCTGATTTTGCTTGCTAGGTTAGTGAAACATGTTTGGCTACTATTGTAAATCATCTAGCAATGTTTAGTTCAATTTTTGGAGCAAAATTTGTATTCAAATTAATTCAAAATTTGGCTTCAAAAATAAATTCCCAAAAATTAGGGTTTTGAGTTAAACGTGGACTTTGACCTTGCAATTCAAAATCTAGAAATAATTTGGCTGTGGTCATAAAAGCAAAGTTGTAGCAAATTAAATTCTAAGCAACTTTCATTTTTGGTACATTTTCAAAAGATGTCATTTTCTTGCTCAAAATAATATTTGAAAGATGACATTTAAAAATTCCTTGAAAATACAAATGAAAAAGGCTTTTTCCTCCTTCATGGGGCACCCTCACTTCTCATCCACCACCGGCCGGCCCAATGAAGCCCCAGCATGCCTAGCCTCGCCTCGCCTCGGCCCAGCCAGTAGCTGCTAGCTCCTTCTCCCAGCAGCTCATCGCCATCCACACACGCCGACCGCCAGCGTCGAGGGCTTGCCACACCGCGTGCCACCTGCCACCGTCGTCGGCGGCCAGGCACATCATCCCACAGCGCACACATGCAACTCCTGCAATCTTGGCGATGACTTGAATCCCACCCCACCGCATTCCAGCGCTCCTCACTTCTCCTCTCCTGCTGCCTCTCTCTCCTCTCACTCACTACCCTTATAGCCACCACAAGCACGCTGCTTGCCGGAGCTTCGCTCGCCACCACCTCATTCACCCGGTGACCACTCCGTCTCGCCTCTGACTCCACCGTCACCCCGCGCACCCCGTGCTCTCGCTACTTTGCCGTGGTAAGCATCCCGTCCTTGGGAATTGCTCGCCGGAGCACGGCCGAGCTCGCTGGTGAGCTCCGCTCCCGTGGACTCCCCCTTTCCGCTCCTCTTCCTACCTTTACTTCGCGCGCACAAGCACCGCACGGCGACGTTGAGTCTCCCGAGCGCCTCCTTTCACCATGCCGTGGCCGGAGATGCTCCACCGGCGACGACCTGCGCCGCCGCTCCGCCATTACCGTCGTCGAGCCTTTTCCCCCTGCACCGCCCCTCCCTATTCACCTCTATCCGACGCGGTTTGTCTTGGGGAGCACGTTGGTGCTCTCCGTTTCGCCGAGGACCTCACCGTCGGCGAGAGCTGGCCGGTCAGCGTCGCCCCTGTCTCGGTCTGACCGACAGGTGGGGGCCGTTGACCGTGGGGGCCCTCTCGTCAGCGCCCTGGATCGGATCTGGGTGCACAGCACCGGGTGCACCCAGCAGTTTTGTCAGCTGATTTCTTTAAAAGAGTTTAAGAAATGATTTTTCAGATTTTTGTGAAATGCTTTGGAAAATGGTTGTATGCTCAAATTTGCTCCAAATTTGTTGAAACAAATTTTGCTAGGTTCCTTATCAGCAGATCTACTTGGGAAAATTATTGCATGTCATTTTTGAGATACTTTGCTGTAGAATTTTTTTTAATCATGTATATTGCTGATAACTTGAAAAATATGTAGAAAAATCTATAGGCTTCAGAAAAATATGGTTCCAAGTTTGTTAATCTTCTTATGTCATGTACTTCCTAGGAAAAATAGGTTTCATGCATGTGCTGTGGGAAAATTTTGAGGTGTAGTTCAAGTGCCTTTAATGGCTAATTTTTGTTATTTTTGTTAGAGAGCAAACTTTGTATAAAACATGTATGTGATAAATTTTGTACAGTCATTGTATGCTATGAAGAACCTAGAAAAAATACTAACTCTGTTGTTTGACACTTTTCACAGTTCAAAATATTTTTATGTTCATAATCCTGCCATACCTTGTCATTTTTGTGTAGACTATTTTACTTATCCAAACGCCATGAAAATTTTATGGTAGTCTACTTAGAGTAGTACTATGCTACTGTAATTTTCTTAGATTTTTATAAGCCCCAGAAATATAGGTTGTTGTTGTAGCCCTAGTTTAAAATAAAATAAAATAATCCTCTTTAATGCAAGTTAGTTAATAATGTTAGCTTTGGTGTATCTTTGAAGCATTTAATAAGATGTGTTGACTTAACCTATTAGTAGTAGAAGAGAATGCAGTAGATGACATGTGCTTGTAGTATATTTTCTTGGATGATGTTGACTACCTTGCATTCAAATATATCCATTGTATTCATCTCATCCGATGCACCGATTGCATAAGCACTTACGCACATTGCATCATATAGGATCGCAAACCGAGAACCCAGTCGTCATACCCGAGGAGTCCGAGGAGCAGTTCGAGGTGCAGCCGTAGGAAGTGCCAGAAGCCGACGAGGAGGACGTTGAGGAACTTCCGGAGTGCCCCGATCACCGTCCGAGCTCCTTCGAGAGAGGCAAGCTCCGGAGCATTTTTTCTCTCCCGGTTTGTAATGATTTAATTAAATGCTTTACTTTAATTGATGCATTACGTTCAGGAGTTGTTTGCAACCGTTGCTGCATTATACCTTGTTTACCTTTGTTATACTATATCCTTGTTACCCTCGTATCCGCAGTCGAGTCAATGCTTAGCTGACTTAGACCGGTAGAAGTCGGATGATTTCCTATCACCTGCGAGCTATAGGTGGTTACCTGGATCTGCTTGGATCACTATGAAGTCATGGTATAACTAAGTGTTAAATGAAGTTGAGACCGGACGGAGACTTGCAGAGTTTTGGACTGTAGTGTTTCCGTCTGTGTCGATTAAGGACCGACCGTTGTTGGGCCTCGAGTCATGTTGAACGCATGCCTTACATTTAGCTGGCCGGATAAAGTACCTTCCGACCGCTGAAGGCCGGGAGATTTTTCGGGCGAGTAGATTGCCCGCAGCCACGACCGTCTTTGGAAGCAGTGTGTGTAGGACACAGGGGGCGAGATGATAAGACCAAAGTGCGATCGGTCGGCCCCCGTACATGTGGTTCCCTGCAAACTCGAGATACCGGAAAGTTGACTCGGTGATCAATATCTCACTTTAGCGGGTGAGTGAGGTTTGTGTAAGGAATAAATCACCAGCTGGTTAGGAATCGATTCGAATCACCATCGCTCCTGGATAGTGAGCACTTGACTTGAGTTACTTCATCGTAGTAAATGTTTATGGAACACTTGGACAGTTATAGTGAATATGACAGTATGGAAGTTGTTTAATGATCAGTGGTTATCATTATCTGATTAATCATATGTGTGCTCTAGTATAGGTGCAAATCTAGTCGACAGGTTAATAATAATTAACTTGACAATAATGCTTTTAGAAGGGTTCTTGAAATGCTAAAAATGCTTCTTTTGCAAATGAGTCAGCTACCCTACTATAAAGCCCTTCATAATCCTTGGTGTCATTTATTTTCGGTTATGTCGGGTAAGTCTAGTGAGCACCTTCTCATACTCGGGTTTTATTCCCACTTGTTGCGATGGGCGGATGTATTACGGCTCTTCAGATCAACCTGCTGTATCCTGCGATGGGTGATGCTTAGGACCATGGGCAAGGTCATTCCTTACATCTCGTCTAATGCTTTTGTTGGAGATGATCATTTGCTGGCACTATATTTAAACTCCGCGTGAGTGTGTGTGTGGTTTGAACAAATGGCTTCCGCTACTTTTATTCGAACTGGTTTTGTAATAACTATGTTTAAACTCTGATGTATCTGAGATTGCGAACTTTTATGTAATATGTGATGGTGACCGCTAAACTTATTATGATCTTGGCTGGAATGGAAGTTGGTTTGAAATCCTTCGTGATTTCACGGACTACCGGGTTATATGGGCTTAAGTTTGCTCAATCGTCTGCTCTGGCGGATGATTTTCTTACTTAATTTTGTATAATTGGTCGGTTCTGTTACAGCTGGCATCAGAGCATGGTTTAGCGTGTTACTGTTCACAAGTGTATTTAAAACAAAAAGGCATTTGGGAAAACGTGATTTTCAAAATCTAAAGTGTGCCATGATCATATCCTTTATGCCCGATTAAGGACTTTATGTGGCTTAATTAAATCTTGGCGGGTTCTTGCATCATATTTCTCTTTCGTCGCTCATACGGCGTGCTATTGTATGAGTGCCACTTGTTTGAGTGGTAATGTATGGATCATTTGCCTCTATGCCTCGGTAAGTGTGAGTTGTGAGAGCATGATCGGATACACCGCCGATCTAGGGTGAATGATTATATGATGCTGGAGTAATTACATGTTCTACGCATGTTTTACAAAGGTATCTCATGTATGGGTCTTCCGTCTGTTGAGGCGATGCCATCAATAGGACGATGGTTCGGGTAGTTACTACCGTTGTACACGTATCTAGGGATTCGTGTAGAGCGTGTGGATAAAAATTTACTGCTTTTATGCATTCATTGGGATT